AGGAAGCAAAGAAAGGAACTCACTCTGTTTGGAAAAGCACCTGTGTTTTTCCTAAGTGTTTCTCCAGTCCGAAATTAAAGCCATGTTATTATTACATTTGTTCAAGGATTGGTATTGTCTTTGAATGAGAGGATGTTGCCATGAACGTCACAATCTGTTTAATTCATTTGGATAGCACCTCATCAAGGTCCCAAGTGCCCACAAAGACTTGGTCTTGTTATTGACAAATGCACAAAATCTATTTTTATTAGCAGCCTTAAATACTGTCCTTTGGGGTACCCATCCATTTAAACAAACTTTAATTAACTTTTCTGGAGGCAAAAGTAGCAACTGTGGTTGTAAATGATTTAGTACCAATTAGACAATTAAAAAACTTGACAGGATCCTTTTTTGCTTTTTAAGTTAATGCTCATGGGCCCTGCAGATGACTAGTTTCCACTCAAAAGGCCTGTCTGTTGTCACTTGGCAAACATGCTGGTGACGCCACACCAAGGGAGCACAGGCAGCAATGCTACAACCACGAGAAGAAATTGGTTCAATCTTTCTGGACAGCAGTCTAGTGACATGTGACAAGAACCGTAAAACTATCCATCCCCTCTGACCTGGTAATTCTACTCTGGAGAATAACCTAAAGAAAGAGTAATTGGTCCAGAGATGCTCAACTCACATCATCTTCACTGATGGTGTTCCGGCTTCGCTCTTGTGCGTGGGTGAGAGGACAACTGCATAGGAAGGGGCAGAAAGCATTAGTAGCAAATGTCAATTAAGGGTTCTGCTCCCCTGTGAGCACTGGGCCTTCCCAGAAACAGAAGAAATGAATTAAAGCCTAGACTGCAGAGGGAAAGGAAAAACCTAGCCTTCTCATCTGTCCTTCTTTCCCAGTAAGGGGTCCTAAGCCAAGGAGGCTGGCCCTTGTGGGAACCTGCAGATCTAGGACCTGCTTCCTCTCAAGTCACCAATTAGGCTTACAGCATCTAAGGGCTAAAAACAAACACACCCTACACATCAGGGCTCGCACCAACATGGAAAAAAACCCTTAAGATGGTTTCAGTGATGCTATCTAAACAAAGTATTCTTTCGGAGACATAACATATACTGCAAAGAAGGTAAGTTTTAAAAGAAAAACTAAAAATAATAAAGCAAAACCACTCTGTCTTTTGACATTGCAAAGACCCCTGACTTTTAACTCGAATGATCTGTTGGAATGAAGTTGATGGCCTGGAACGAATAATTCTCTTTCGGTGATGTGAGAAAACACATGATATTCATGCCTAAAGAAAAAAAAACAAAACAAAAAACCGTTTTCCCTCTGTAGGTTAAACACTATCAAAGTCTTACTAAGAATAAAATGCAAATGGCATTCCCTGGGGCTATGGGGCTCTTTACCTGCATGCCACTGCCAAGGGGTACTAAAGTGCTGGCCTCTTGCTGGTCTGTGGGCTTAAAGGAATCTGATGAAAAGCAGCAAAAATGTCTTCAACAACAAATTCTTCTGCTTCACGATAACCATAGTGTTTGGAAATAAAATCATGTCCAATCAATACCACTTAGCAGATATTTAATGTTTCACAATAGAAACGCTCTTCCAGAGGGGAGCTGCGGCCCTTCTCACTAACACTGAAAATAATTAGGATTATCTCAGCTGCCGGAGCTTGGCAGGATCAGTTTGTACTTTCAAACAGCATTAATTCTTGGCACTCAGAACAAGGGATGAAAGGTAAAGCCCTGAATGGAGGCTTTCTTCCACCTGATCTATCAGGATTAGCTCATTCTTTTCCAGTTCATGCCTGCGCTCCAGTTAAGAGGAAGGCTGAGCTGTAACTGATGTAATTAGAAACCACAAGCTGAGAAAAAAATAGCCCATTATTAATCTCACCATTTACTAGAAATTTACTAAAAAAAAAAAAGTAATAATCTTTGAAACAATTAAGTGTGTTTCCCCCTAAGTGGAATGAACGGCTAGCGACCAGAGCTGAAGGGATGTACTGGGTAATTCGTTCCTTAAATCTACATCTTACCTGTCAGGTCCAAACTCTGGGGCCAGCTCTGCTAAAGTGTGTTGACATGCAGCTGCCCCGCCATGGTAAAAGGATGGGTCCAGAACTTGCTGCACATCCTCCTCCTCAAGGGATTATTCCAACCCTTCCAAGCACTGGGGATTATGGGTTAAATATGAGGGGAGCTGACACCAGGAAACACTTGTCTACGGGACAGCGACCATATTTCTTTCCTTCCACTCATGTTACTTGACCATTCGTAAACAATTCACAAAATGACAGAATGTTTTAATTCTCGAAAACCCACAGGCCTACCAAACATCTTTCTGTTCCCCGCCAGGAGAGCACTGTTCTGGGAGTCCACCCAGCTACATCCACAGCCCACCTCGCTCTGCTGGGACTGGCCCCTTTGCTGCTGGAGGTCAGAGCTAACACACCTCTCAGGTTGCCCCCCTTTAGTGTGGTCAACTTGACAGAATCTTGAATCACCTGGAAGGTGATTCTAGTCTTCTGGGCACACCTGAGAGGGATTGTCTGAGTTGGGTTAGTCTCTAAGCATGCCTGGAGGGGGATTATTATGATTGCATTCATGGAAGTAGGAAGCCCCGCCCACTGTGAGTGGCGACATTGCCTAGCTGGGATCACTGATTGTGTAAGTGAAGGAAGG